GGGGGCGTTCCTCTTACACTTGCGGAGGATGAGAAAGGGTGTTTGGCGTTGCTAAGCAAAGACGGTGACTTGGTCAGTAGAAGCTAGTGGTGACATCTTGATTAGGCCTTAGGGACAGATGAAGAGCTGCTTGGGGTGAAATGCCGAGACAGGCCTGGTGGGAATGGGGAGCAGAGAGAATCGAGGTGGGAAAGAGGAGCTGTGGCAGCAGCCGCCTAAGCCTGGAACAGAGAGATCTGAGGGGCCTCAGCCTCCTCCCCACAATAGAGCTGGGGATGGGCGGCTTTCTTTGCTCTTGTGCCCACTGTTCCCGGCTAGCAGGCTAGCATCCTGCCACCCAGGAGCCCATGGTCAAGAAAGGGAAAACAGTTATGATGAGGTTCCTTGCAGAGAAGTGTGGAGGGCTTTCTCCCACCTCATGGCTATTCCCTGGAGGTAGCCACTCTTTGAAGGGATCGAGGAAAGGCCTGAAGAACAGAGGGCTCATCTCCTTCAACATGTGAAAACACATTTAGCTTGTGGGCTGTTTTCCCTGCCTCTTTCTCTCCCTCTTGCTTTTCTGACCTTTATCTACTTCCTACCTCCCCTAATATGAACCTCATGATTTGGCTTTGCCCTCTGGGGTTCGGCCAATCTGTGATGACTTTGACCAAGAAAATTTCTCAGACCTGACAGCAGCCTTAATTCTTGGCTTTGACAGTCTGGGATTTCTTGGGAGTCCCAGGCATTTGAAATTCCCTCACTGGGGTTTCTGGGGCTGAGAAAGAACTGCTGAACTTCCTAAATCTGACTCTAGTCTTTTTCAGCCTCTGGCTAGAATGCAAAATCTCTGGAGCCCCACAAAGACTTTCTGACCCCTGCACTGATTCATTTTTATGTATTAGCCCCATAAAAGTAGACTTGAGCCTGCTTTCCCTCGTTATCCTAGAGAGGGTAACAGCATCAGAGGGCCACTTGAACTACTGGTGGACTCTGGAAGAGCCTGCTCTTCCTCCTGAAATGTTTTCCCCTTAATATCTCTTTCAAGATATTTTCCCCATATCATAAGCCCCTGGTGCCAAAAGGCAACCTCATCTAGAGGCTAGCACCAGCTTGTTTCCAACAAGCTCACTTTTCCTTTTAGACAGAGTCAAGGACTCAGTTGTAAGGCCCAGAGCCTCGTTCTTCCCCCATGACTATCATCAAGTGATTTAGGGTAAGTCAGCACTAACATTTGAAAAGGGATGAGAAGATACCGTTTCAGCCCTTTTAACTTTAGTAAACCCTACACTTAGCCGAAGGACATATTTTAAAACTTGGTCTGAGCCTTCAAGTCTTAACCCCCAACTCTGAGATGCTCACTTCATGATGTGTCTGTGGTTCTGATTTCAGCATGAGTTTTAAGCCCCATGGCTTTTTCTATAGTGAGCAAATTTCCTCAGGCTTTGAAGGGATAGAATGGGGGAAATGGAACTTTTAGGAGAGGATATGAATGAGAAATGGTCCCAAAGTCCTGAGTGGTTGTTTTCTTCCCACTGACCAAAGCTGGAGAGGGATCCCTCAGGAGGGTGTGTTCCGGATTTCTTACCTCAGGCCCAAGACTCCAACCATTTTATAATGGAATCTTTATTTTGTGAAAGTAAGTATGTGCGTAGCTGGGCAATTGGGTAAAGTACTAGTAGGTGGACTTTAAGGAATGGATTTTAGGGTTTGTCTCTTTCTCTATTCCATAATTAGGCCTGTGTATGCACATCCATGCATGTTCGTGTTAGAGATAATGTATGAGGCTGAGTATGTGTATCTCAGTAGGTGTGTTTAAGCTGATCTACATATGTGGTACGTGTCTGTGTACGTATGTGCGTCTACATGTTTTTGTTTCACCTGTATATTTGTACAGAAGATTGTGGGGAGGAGGGAATTTTTTAAAAAGACATGATTCATATCTTCAGGTATGTCATCTGATTTTAAAAGCATACATGAAACTCTCAAAATGCATTTTTACGAAGTTATTTGAAAATATTGAGAGTAAACTGACTATGTAACTCTCAAGGGAACACCGAGTATTAAATATTTGATCAGGTAGGAGGCTTTCTAGAGTAGTCAAATTCTTGCGGCCGTTAGAAGTTCTTCATGGGCCCAACTCTCCTCTACGGAGGCAGTGATTCCCAATTGGCTGTGTAAGGGGTAGTTAAGAACACGGGCCTGCTCAGTATCTGCAATCAGATCCCAGTTGTACCACTACCAGAAATGTGACCTTATGCAAATAACATAACCTCTTTTGTGCCTCAGTTTCCTCATCTGCAAAATTAACCTACTTCACTGGGTTGTTTTAAAGATTCAATGAGATAATTCATTTAAAACGCATAGAACAATGCCTGGCACAGATAAAGAACTCAATGTTAGCTGCTACCGTTATTATTACTATTATTATCATTAGATTCAGGGACAATTCCAGCTGCCCTTCCTGCAGATCTCGAACCTGGTGTTGGGGGCTCCAGAGAGGAACAGTAGGGAAGAACGTCTGTCCTGAGCCGCCTCCCTCCTGAGGCCCCCATTTTCCTCTCCGCCCTGGCCCGCCCAGCCCCAGCCCTGCTTCCTGTGGACGTCAGGCAGTGATGCTCTTCCCCTCAGACCTAGATAAAGGTAGGGTGGGCAAGGCCCAGCCACTGAGCTCGCGGAAGTCAGCACCGGGCACCCCGACCGGCGGGGGCACAAGGTATGGTGTTGCCAATGGCACTGCCTTGTACGTGGCTGTAAAATGAATGTTTGTAGAATTTAACTGAAGTTTTTAAAGCTGAGGCAGCGGACAGTACATGGCTGTAGCTCCAGCTTCACCTGCTGTCTTCTTTCCTCCAAGGTAGCGGGGACTCATCTCTGGAGAAGGAGTTCCTCGGGGCCCCAGTGGGGCCCTCGGTGAGCACCCCCAACAGCCAGCATTCTTCTCCCAGTCGCTCACTCAGTGGTAAGTGTACCTTCCTACCCGCTGCTGTCCCTAGGCACCCCGTCTGCTTTTGGCCCTCAATTCACCACCCATTGGCAACCATTTCCCCGTCATTGCCTCACTCTGGCTTCCTGCTCAGAGTCTTTGAAAGTACTAAGGAGCTCAGTGTACAGGGTTTTCCTGGCTTCTGAAGGGAGGGTGAATGGTCACTGCTAGACTAGGATGGAATTAAGAGACATGGGCGGGATTAAGGTAGAGGCTCCAAAGAGAAATTCTGCAACTGGAGAAGCAGGTAGATAGTCACTAGCTGAAGCTACACAGGAAATAGAGAGGAGAAGGACCTCTCCATCCCCCTCCCCACCCACCATTCTCCTGCCCAGACAGGGTCCCTATGACTGCCCCTCCCCAACTGGCCCTAGATCTGTGACATTCTCTAAATGGTTGGAATAGCCAGGAATGTAGGTCAGCGCTAGAGCCAAAGCCTTCTCCTCAGTGGCCCCTCCCTCCCTCACTCCCCACCTTCCGGAATTTTATGGAGTGGGGACAGAGGGGTTCAGTCCTCTGGGGTGGAAGGATAATGTGACCGTGTCTGTCTCCCAGTTTTGCTCTCTGTTTAGCCCACTGTCCCTTCAGTTTTCCTAGGGTTATTTTCCCGCCACTGTTACTTGCTGGCTTCCTGCCCAGGGCCAGGCCAGACATCTTTCTTAATGACAAGAGAGTGGAGGAAAAGACTCCCCATAGCTTCCTTCTCTCCCCAATGACAGAAGACATCTTTTGTACCCCAGTTTTCTTTGAAGTCTGTTGGCCTAGTGGGTGGGAGAGAAGGAAACGGTTGCTTCAGGTTCCAGCAGGACCCCCGATATGCCTACTTGGAATACTAGGGTGTTAGCCCGTTTTAAGGCCTAAATGTTTCAGGGCTTGGAGACAGCCTCCTGGACTTCAGGAGTGCCATTCTAGCCTGGGAACAGGTTCACCTCTCTGTCTATCTCTGTCCTAAACACCAATCCACCCTCCAGCCAACTCCATCAAGGTGGAGATGTACAGCGATGAAGAGTCAAGCAGACTGCTGGGGCCAGATGAACGGCTTCTGGAGAAGGATGACAGTGTGATTGTGGAAGACTCACTGTCTGAGCCCCTGGGCTACTGTGATGGGAGTGGCCCAGAGCCTCACTCCCCTGGTGGCATCCGGCTGCCCAATGGCAAACTCAAGTGTGATGTCTGTGGCATGGTCTGCATTGGACCCAATGTGCTCATGGTGCACAAGCGCAGCCACACTGGTGAGTAAGCCAAAGGGGTTCAGGGCTGAGAGGCAGAGGCAGTGCTGGGGTAACAGTGAGAGGGCTGGAGGAGGCCATGCCGGGAGTGGGGTGGCCTCAGGAAGGGAAGGGTCTCTTAGCACAGTTTCTGGCTAACAAAATAAAAGGGGGTGGAACTTGGACTCTCCTCAACACCTGTACTTCCCAGCACTTCCCTCAGTTGTTGTTATGATGAAAAGCTAGTCAGAATTTTTCTCAGGACATGGGGTTGGGGAAGGTGGTGTGGCCTCAAGAAGGATCCTGGGTATTGTTTGGGCCCTCCCACCTCATGGGAAGAAAAATGAAAGCAGATATCTCCTCTTCCCAGCTTCCCCAGGCGTTGGACTTCTAGAGCAGAGCAGGTCCTGTGGGGCTCAGTTTTTGGTAACAGTCTTGGCCCAGTGTCCCAGGCCTGCCGCCCCTCTCCCTGCCACACCTTCCCAAGGTTGTCCTCAAAGGATCTTTATAAAACAGGATTTGTGTGTGTGGCTCAGCACTGCCCTTCAGAAATGTGTTCTGAACACCTTCTGTTGGGTGGGACGGGGCAGAGGGTGGGGGACTAGGTCCAACCTTCAAAGTTCCTCACACACAGGCTTCTGGGATCTGATCTTTCACTTGCAGGTGAGAGGCCCTTCCATTGCAACCAGTGTGGTGCCTCCTTCACCCAGAAGGGGAACCTGCTGCGCCACATCAAGCTGCACTCCGGGGAGAAACCCTTCAAATGCCCCTTCTGCAACTACGCCTGCCGCCGGCGTGATGCACTCACTGGTCACCTCCGCACCCACTCGGGTCAGTGACCAGTCTAGTGGGAGATGAGAGAAGAGGGAGGGAGGCCCCAATGCAGCCAGTAAATAGAGCTGAGCGCCTTCTCCTGTACTGGAGGAGTTACAATGTCTGTCGTTGAGGAGGGGAGAGCACTGACAGAGCGGATAGGGTCGCCCTGCCTCTCAAACCCCTCCCCTTGGCAGCAGGGCCCCATGGGGAATTTGGGGGACTCTTTGATAGGGTATTTTACATCTGCCACACTCTGTGACATGCAGCAAAAGGAGTACACGCAGTGGTCTTGGCTTGTAACCATCACCCTCCCTGACTTTTGCTTTTTAAAGTTCACGCTGATGCCATCTGTGCCCCTTCACCCCCCACTTCTGAGCCCCAGGGAAACCCTTCTTCCCACTCCCACATGCTCCAGGCCCACGTCTGCCATCATCTTCACCCTACCGCACTGACACCAGAGGTCTCGGGCAATCACTGTCTGTCTTTTTTACTTCCTACTGGTTCCCTGTATGGTCCCCCCAAGCTGGATAAAACGGAGTGTAGGACCTCCAAACAGGAAAAGAGTATCCACTTTCTGTTCCACATCCCAAGAAGGATGAACAAGTCCAAAACAAGAGCAAGTCCAGAGGGTGCCTGGAGGTCAGTGTTTGGACCAGTGCCAGGGAACTGGATTAACAAGTTTTCCAGTCCAGCCAAGACTGATCAGTATCTGTCTGAATCAGCTGGACAGATAGCACTTTTCAGGTGTTTACCAAGTTTTAAGCTTTTAGCTCGGACTTGGGAAGAGGCCAGGAGCTGAGCTGGTAGGAAGGAGGGAGCCTAAGATTGAGAAAAGGCAAAAAGAAGGGAAGAGGGGAAAGAATTAGTAGAGTCTGTCCTTGGAAACTGTCCTTAGTATTTTTTTCTTCTCTTAAACTCTTCTGGGCCGGGATTTAAGGGCCAGTACAACCACCTCACCATCGTCTGCTTTCTGCAGCCGTCTACCTGGTTCTGGACTCTCTTAACTTGGAACTGGGACCTCTTTATCTCTGTGTATGTGGAGAAACAGGGAGAAAGACCATCATTAATTCATAATTTATATATACAATGCATTTCGCTTGTGTCACCTCGTGTGATCCTCATAATAATACAAAAACGAACAAACAAACCTGTTGTCATTGACTCGATTCTGACTCACAGTGACCCATAGGACAGGTGAGAACTGCCCCATAGGGTTTCCAAGGAGAGGCTGGTGGATTCAAACTGCTGACCTTTTGGTTAGCAGCTGAGCTTTTAACCACTGTGCCACCAGGGCTCCTAATAATCCAAGGTAGATGTTATTATTGCCATTTTGCTGATGAGGAAACTGAATTACAAAAAAAAATTTGCCGGTCCCCTAACCACTCCTTAGCCGAGCTGGAACCCCATCCACGTCCAATGCCAGAGCTTGGTGCTCTTTTTCCTCAGAAGAGGGGCGGCTCCCCCTGTTGGTTTGGAACAAGGATGATTTGGCCCCTAAAATATTTACAAACAAAAGTGAAGTGAGCTGGGTGGATTTTTTATGTTGTTCTGTGGGAGATTATTAGGAGCAGAAGCAAACACAGATATACTATTGGGTCCATCTTTGTGAGATTCTATTAGAACCCATACTATAAGAAAAAAGGGGTTGAGGAATCATTCCCCTCCTAGATGTAAAACCATTTCCCCAAGGGTCTTGGGTGAACAGAACCATGACATTCACCTCATCCCCAAAATACTAGGGTTTACAGAGCAAGAGCAAAATGGCAGTAGATTGAGTCCATCAAAGTCCAGTTAGGGTGTGGGGGTGGGTGGGTAGTAATTACCAGCCCCCTGTAGACTCCTCTACCCCTTCCCTTGTCTCCCTGTTCAGTAGGAGCAAGATACATAAAATATACAATACCTTGTTTCTCTTCACGCTTTTCTCTCCTCTCACAAATATCATCTCTCAAGAGTGGTCTTTAAAGGAAGTGTCAATCTCAGTTTTCCCGATTATTTTTTCTTCGGTAGAAATGAGATCTTACTATCAGTTCTTTATTAAAGGGGGAAACAAAGAAGCCCCCTGAAGCTTGTTTCTTCCTCTCTATTTTCTTCTCTGTTCATTTATTCTTTTCTCTTTTCTGAATTTCTCTATCAGTGATGGTTTTTCTGGGGATCTCATGGTATCTCAGTGTAGAGAGACAGGAAGAAAGAGAAAATAAGCAGTAAGAGCAGGCTAGGGATGGAGCTAAAAGTATAAGTAAAGGTCAATGAAAACTGCCGCTCCCCACATTGGCAGATCTAAGGGTTCTCATTTCTGTCACCCCAGCTCACCAATTTCCCCCAAACCAAAACAGATAGTTCATGAGCAAAAAATCCCCTTGTCTGATAAACAGCACTTACACCCACCCGCCACATGGAAAGGTTAAACCACAGCCTGGGCCCCAGACTCAGATATCCTGGGGTGAGGCCAACCTGTCTGCCAGGGACGATCTCCTACAAAGTCCCTGGGTCCTCACTTCGTTTGAGCAGCAACTTGGCCATCTTGAGGCCCACCACCCATCCAAAGCTGTATGTCCTGGGATCCCCCTCTCCTCCTATAGTTGTACGTTAGCCTTATTCTCCAGTTTGTGTCATGGTTAGCAGCTAAAGTTGGGGAAGGGAAAGCCAACAGAAGTCAACTTAGCAACACCCCTTCCTCCTCCATGCCAGTATACATTTTCTTCTGGTTGATTTTGGGGATCCAGGGCAGAGGGAGAAATAACTCTGATGCTATTTCTCTCCTCTCTGCCCCGTAGTCTCCTCCCCAACAGTGGGCAAGCCCTACAAGTGTAACTACTGTGGCCGGAGCTACAAACAGCAGAGCACCCTGGAGGAGCACAAGGAGCGGTGCCACAACTACCTGCAGAGTCTCGGCACTGAAGCCCAAGCGCTGGCCGGCCAGCCAGGTGGGACTGGGGGCGGCTCCGCGGGGAGGCGAGGGTGGGGCCGGAGGGAGTGCAGGACAAGGGCGACTCCAGCACCTCCCACAAAGGGATGAAGTCTGTGGAATAGGAGACAGTTACCCAGGAAATCTGCCAAGCACCTCACCGCAAGCACCCCAGTTGGCGAAGGGTCCCGTGGTACGTGCTGTAATGAGAGCCATAGGGAGGGAGGGGAAGATATGGTCTGTGTTCCCAGTGTAATGAGAGAGAAAGAACACAAGGAAGTATAAACTCAAGGGTCAAATGTACATAATCGACACCAAATTATCTTAAATGTTACTGCGATGAGTGCTAGGTACGGTAAAGTGAGCAGAGCCCAGTTTTCAAGGCACAGGGTATGACCATCCTTGGCTGTGACCTTCCAGGGGAAGGCTGCTGGGACAGTGCCACCCCAGCTCAGCTGCTACAACTCTGTCCCCACCTTGTTCCCACTAGGTGATGAGATACGTGACCTGGAGATGGTGCCAGACTCCATGCTGCACTCATCCTCCGAGCGGCCGACTTTCATTGATCGGTTGGCCAACAGCCTCACCAAACGCAAGCGTTCTACCCCCCAGAAGTTTGTAGGTAAGAGTCCAGTTGGAGAGGAGACACATAGACACATATAAATCTGAGCTCTGGTAGCCATTAGACCAGTTGGGTCTGGAGATTTGATTGAAGGAAAGGAAGAGGTCTCGTGGTCGCCCGCGCTCAGAGTCTTATCCCCAGAACAGGAGAGGAGTGAAGAGGGACGATGTACCTCGAGAGGGTGGAGAGGGGTTGGTGTTGAGGACTGTTGTGGTTGTTGTAAGGGAAGGGGACCAGGGTGCCTCAGGCTCTACCACTTTTTGAGAATAGCAATCTATGTGGGCTGCTAGAAGGGCCACTACAGTCAGAGAAAGGAAGTGAGTACGTGGTTCCCCCACCTGGCTCTGTTCATTAGCTCTCTAAGGACCCAGACCTTTGCAGTCATGAAGGAAGTATTAAATATCAGTGGGCTGAGACTGAGTCCTCCTCTAAGACTGCAGCCTAGAGTCAGGGAACAGCCCCACCAGAGGCCCTTACCTCTGAGGGAGTTAAATGAGGGGTGGTAAATACTGTTACATCCTGCCCCATGGGTAAGAAAACAAAGAAGTAATCCTGGGAAGCACAGGAATTCTCCAGACCCAGCCCTGCTGAGACCCACTTCTCCACAGGTGAAAAGCAGATGCGCTTCAGCCTCTCGGACCTCCCCTATGATGTGAACTCGGGTGGCTACGAGAAGGATGTGGAGTTGGTGGCACACCACGGCCTGGAGCCTGGCTTTGGAGGTTCTCTGGCTTTTGTAGGGGCAGAGCATCTGCGTCCCCTTCGCCTTCCACCAACCAGTTGCATCTCAGAACTCACGCCTGTCATCAGCTCTGTCTATACCCAGATGCAGCCCCTCCCCGGTCGGCTGGAGCTCCCAGGGTCCCGAGAAGCAGGTGAGGGACCTGAGGACCTGGCTGACGGAGGCCCCCTCCTCTACCATGCTCGAGGTCCCCTGACTGACCCGGGGGCATCCCCCAGCAATGGCTGCCAAGACTCCACAGATACAGAAAGCAACCATGAAGATCGGGTTGCAGGGGTGGTATCCCTCCCTCAGGGTCCCCCACCCCAGCCACCTCCCACCATTGTGGTGGGCCGGCCCAGTCCTGCCTATGCCAAAGAGGACCCCAAGCCACAGGAGGGGTTACCACGGAGCACCCCAGGCCCCTCCAAGGAAGTGCTTCGGGTGGTAGGCGAGAGCGGTGAGCCCGTGAAGGCCTTCAAGTGTGAGCACTGCCGCATCCTCTTCCTGGACCATGTCATGTTCACTATCCACATGGGCTGCCACGGCTTCAGAGACCCTTTCGAGTGCAACATCTGTGGTTACCACAGCCAGGATCGGTACGAGTTCTCTTCCCATATTGTCCGGGGGGAGCATAAGGTGGGCTAGTGACCTCCACCCCTCCCTTCAGTCCATCACTCCACTGCCCCACCTACAGGTGTCGAGCCCTGTGCCCACCACATCCCAAGGAGTTTTGCTTTTAGCCCCCACCACTGGCTACCTGACTTCATACCTGCCCCTGACTCCTCCTCACCTCTTTCTTCTCCTCTGCCCTGACTTATTTAAGCATCATGACGAGACTGGTCTTTGGCTTTTGTTTCCCCTTTCTCTTCTCTTCTCATCCTAGCATACTTGCTGAGTTATTTATTAAGATAATTAGTTGATTTTTATTTTTGCCTTTTTTTTCCAACTTGCATCAGTCACTTGTCACTCTCCCACCCTCCCACCCTCCCACCCACAGTGCCCTTCTACTTAGGCCTAAATTTTCTCTTTGATCCAGCTTCCTCCAACAGCCCCAGGGGTAGGAAGCTCCTCTTAGTATTAAGAGACTTTGAGCTTCTTCTTGCTTTAAGTCTTCACCCTTTACATTATCTGATTCATCAGTTTTGATGTTGATACCTCCCTCTGGCCCTACCTTAGCTCTGTGGCATTATATCTCCTCTCTGGGACCCTTCAACCTGGTACTCCATACCTCTTGTGCCCTCTCACCTTGGCAGCTTGCACTGTTCTTGAACGAATAAAGAATTTCCTCATTTGGAAGTAGGAGGGGCTGAAGAAATTCTCCCCAGACACCATGGGACTGAGGGTCCTCTGATATTCCCCTAATAATATGAATTCCCAAAGCCCACATTCAGGATCTCCCTCTAGGATGTGATATATCTCTTCCTTCTCCTTGAACAGCCCTCAATACTGCTCTAGGCTCCTCAACCTGCCAGTCTACTCAGTGATGGTTTTTCTCTCTTTGGAATGCCCCAATTTTATATTCTCAGGGGCCAAGGCTAGGTCTGCAACCCTCTGTCTCTGACACATTGGGAGCCACAGGTGCCTAACTGGGAGCCAGGGCAGGGGAAGGGGGTGGGTCAAGATCTTTCTTTCTCCTCCACCTCTCAAACCTCTTCACTCTTGTGACCTTCCTAGTCTCTCAGGGGCTCCTTTAGTGCCCAGCCTATAGAACTAGCAGGTTGCTGCCTGATGACAAGAGGGTATCTCAACCCCTAAGTCATGCTGCCTTCTTCTTCCTCTCCCCTCCCCCAGCAGGATTCACTCTTTCATTCCAGGGCTCCTGGGCCCTGTTCTTAGGGTCTGTGACGGGGAGAAAAGAGTGTATCTTTTCCCTTTTCTAGTTTTCAGTGTAACCAAAAATCATCCCCAGATGAGCAAGGGCACATGCCCCTCACCCCATTCCACCCTTGTCCCAGCAAGAATGGGATGGGCACAACTGGACCAGGGTCATCCTTTACTGCCTCCTTCTACAGTCAGCTCCCAGACATAAGGCAGGAGGGGGTACTGTCCTCCTGGCTACTGCAGAGACCTCTGGGTACCCCAGGATTAGTGAGAAGGGGACAGGAGGAGCTACAACTCCACTGGAAGTGAAGGTCTCTTTCTCCAAGAGTTCCCTGCCCAAGGCCACAGCCATCCCACTCTCTGCTTCCTTGAGATTCAAACCAAAGGCTGTTTTTCTATGTTTAAAGAAAAAAAAAAAAAAAGTAAAAACCAAACATAACACCTCACAAGTTATAACACTTGGTCCTTCTCTCTCTCTCTCCTTTTCCCTTCTCCTCTTTTCCCTTCCATCTTTCTTTCCATATGTCCTTTCCTTATTGGCTCTTTTGCCTCCTACTTTTCTCACTCCCTATCAGGGATATTTTGGGGGGATGGTAAAGGGTTGGCTAAAAACAGACCCTGGGGTTGGAGCTCTTAAGGGCTTTGGGAAGAGTCTGCCTTACCCTCTTATGGGAAAGGAGACCCTAAAAAATTTTTCTCTTCCTCCTGTTTCTCCCCCATTATGTGGTCTCCCAGGAAGAACCCGATTGGCAGGGAGGGGCATTGTGGGGTGATTGCTCCCTTGACAACACAGCAATAAACAGATGCTGCCAAGGGCAAGAGGATGGGGAAATTAGCTCAGAGGAGAGTGGTATCTAGAGGAGGGAAGAATCTTCTCAACAATGCCCCAGGGTACTGGCTCCTTGTTTCAGGGTGGCAGCAGAGCTGAGGTTAATATCTGGGGTTCTCCTGAACTGTTCTGGCTACTGAGCCCTTTCCTGCTAGGCCTACCCCTACCTCCTCTTCTGTGTCTGCTGTGTATTTGATGACACCTCATAAGGACTAGTCCCTTCTTGGGAATCAGAGCCTTAGAGTGTTCCCACCCCCTCCCCCAGTCAGCTTTGGCACCTGTAATGTCTGGAACATGAAGGACTATGTCCTGAGGCTATACTTGTGCCCATGAGAGCAGAGACTGGAAGGGCAAGACCAGGTGCTAAGGAGGGGAGAAAGGGACACTCTATCTCTCTCCAGACCATCACTGCACTTTAACCAGGGTCTTAGGTACAAAATCCTACTTTCCAGAGCTTTCCAGCTCTGGAACCTCAAACATCCTCATGCTCTCTCCCAGCTCTTTTGCATAAAAAAAAAGAAAAAAAAAAAAAAAAACACTGAAACCCACACGGAGAAAAGAGGTGTTTTCCTTTTATATTGATATTCAAAATCAACACCATAAAAAAAACATTTCTAAATAGACACTTTTCCAGACCTTTGTTTTTTCGTGTCACTGTCCAAGCCGCAGATGGGATTTTGTAACACTTCTGGTAGCTTCTTTCCTGTGTACATAGTATATATATATATATTTTTAATCAGAAGTTATGAAGAACAAAAAGAGAAAAAAATAAACACAGAAGCAAGTGCAATACCACCTCTCTTCTCCCTCTCTCCCAGGGTTTCCTTTGTAGCCTATGCTTGGTGTCTCTTTTGATCCTTACCCCTTCACCTCCTCCCCTCTTCCTCTGGTCCTCCCTCCCTTTTTTTTAAAGAGTTTTTCTCCTTTCACTAGGGGAGTTAAACTAGCTTTTGAGACTTATTGCAAAGCATTTTGTATATGTAATATATTGTAAGTAAATATTTGTGTAATGGAGATATACTACTGTAAGTTTTGTACTGTACTGGCTGAAGGTCTGTTATAAATAAACATGAGTAATTTAACACCCCTGGTTGTTTTTGCAGACTTCCTTTACCTCGCTTTTCTGCTGGGAGGTAGGAGGGCCTCTTACTGCTAAACAGTTTAGGAGATGAACAAGTCTAAGACCGAAGGGAAGCCAGACAAGAATGCTCAAGTTGTTGCTACAGAAGAACAGAAGAGTTTTAGCCTAGAATGGGAAATAGAAGATATTTTCCGACCTTCAGGATAAGAGAGACAGCCCAACTTGCCTATCTGTCCAAAGCAGAGATTCATCAAACATTTGTTGAGTTCCTACTACGTGCAAAACACATTATGTACGTTATAATTATACGTTACAATTACACCTTGTATATGTCACAATAACACGAGTGGTGACATAATAGGGTCTACCACTTCTTGGGAAACCCTGGTGGCATAGTGGTTAAGAGCTACGGCTGCTAACCAAAAGGTCGGCAGTTCGAATGCACCAGGTGTTCCTTGGAAACCCTATGGGGCAGTTCTACTCTGCCCTATAGGGTCACTATGAGTCAGAATTGACTCGGTGGCAACGGTTCGGTTCAGTACCACTTCTTGAGTGTCTCATAAATGCCAAGCACTGTGTCAAGTATTCATGTAACTGTAGAAACAACTTACAAAAGAATGCTTGCCATCACTGGTGAAGAAATAAAAGCCTAAGAGAATAAACAACTTGTCCAAGGGCCATTAGCTAATAAGTGACAGAACCATGTCTGACTCCAAAGCCTATGCCCATCCCTTTATGCCAGGGAACGCAGCCAGTGAAACCTCCAGGCTATAAAAATCCAAAGAAAAGCCAAGGTAGGAACATCAACTTGGTACTGTCTTAAATATTAACTATTTTCTGTCCCTTTAACTCTAAACTTTTTTTGTCCTCTTCCACCTACTCGTTGCCATTCTATATGATAATGTCTGTCTGCTGTTTTCCGTGAGACTACAGTGAAGTGAAAAACGGAGACAGTTCCGTCTAGAATCTGTCATTTTCCATGCCCACTAAAACTAACAAATTCACCGGGAAGAGACCGTGAATATGTCGCTTCGGTGTCAACGAAAGTTAGAAAATAGATCTTAACCCCAGTAAAGTGGGTTGCAAGTTAAATGAAGCCGTGATGTGTTGTTGGAGGGAAGCTGAATCTAGTGTGTTCAGACTCCAGTCCCCTTGCGACTTGTTTCTCCAACTTTGGAGACAACTGGGTGGTTGGTTGCATATGGATAGCTACTCCTACTCGAGGCTCCAGCTTTTCCGATGGCTCTTCAGAGGTAAATTGAGCTCATAAGTAAGGAAGTGTGTTTCAAATGGGGGCTAGACTCATCAGTGAGTGACGAAATCACTTTAGTGGGTCTTGATCAGCATTTATGAAAATGGAGAATAGAACCAGTGCACCTTATGTTGTCAAGGTAAGTGCTGTGTCACGAAGCTTGTGTTAGTTTTGTACGTGTGTGTATTTGTGAATGTATTCACTGTTGTTGTGTGCCAATGTAAAATATATTTCCGCTAAGAGTCTGAGTCAAAAACGTTTAAGTCACTGTTCCAGGCTTTATCTTCATTCATTCATTTGTTAGCTGAGGGACACAACAGAATAGTGAAGCCAGAACACCTCTTACCAGCTGTATGTGACCTCGGGCAAGTTATTCAACCTCTCTGCACCTTGGTTTTTCAATCTGTAAAGTGAGGATAATAACAGTACCTACCTCATAGGCTTGTGGAGGATTAAAAAAGTTCATATTTATAAAGTGCTTACTACAGTGCTTGGCACTGAGCTAACAGGATCCAGGGATACAAACATGAATGACAAACAGCGCAGCACGAATGCACTTCTCCGTGGCCCCCACTGTGGGATTTTCAACATACTGGAAGGAGAAATAAACAAAATGTTTTGCTTCCTACTGGGTGTTCCGTTTCTGAATCCCACACTAAGTAGCAGGATTGGCAGAACAACAATCCGAGGATCCCTCGCTGGCATAGCGCTGTCTTGGGTCTAAACACTCCAGGCCAGGGGGCCTCTCGGTTTCTCACTACAATTCCCACAACTCACCTCCCCTCCGGCCTCTAATAGGGAGAGCGTTTTGTGGTCTCTCGAAGAGCAAATTCCGCGCCTAGTGTCGCGATAACCGGCTGCTGGTAAACCCGAGAATTACGTCCGGGATAGGGCGTCGCAATGCTTGCCGGGAGACTTATAACTATGATTTTCTTCCGCTAGCAGGTTAAATAGTCCCTGGAGTACCTTGTTCTTCGGACAAATAAGCTGTAGAAGCTCCTTTCCACCCTATATTTCAGTGGAAATACTGATTAACAAAGATACTTGAGTAAAGTGGGACATCGTTCTTGGCTTCCGTCTCTTAAGGATTCGTCCCGTGGGGGCGTAGGGATCTCACGCTATATAAGAGCCCCGGGACAAGTTCCGGATTCTCTCTCAGGTCCTCGCTTCCAAGATGGTGAGTTGTGGCGCGTGGTGAGCGTCGGGAATCCGGGTCGGGGCTGAGATCAGTTTCTGGTATTGTGGAGGTTGAGGGCTGGGACTGGAGTTGACGGAGTCTATATATGTTTCTGGGTTTGGAGGAAGAGGCACTCTGAGTGGCTGTTTTCTGGGGGTTGCTGGCGCGCACCGAGGCTGGTTAAGCGGCATCCTTTTCCTATCAAGATTTTCATCTTTTCGCAGACTAAGAAAAGGAGGAACAACGGTCGTGCCAAAAAGGGCCGTGGCCATGTGCAGCCTATTCGCTGCACGAACTGCGCCCGCTGCGTGCCCAAAGACAAGGCCATTAAGAAGTTCGTAATTCGAAACATAGTAGAGGCCGCAGCTGTCAGGGACATTTCCGAAGCGAGTGTCTTCGACGGTGAGTACGCAAGAGGACTAGTACTTTGCTAAAACCCAAGCCGCCTCAGTCTCGCTCTTCTGCAGGCTCTGTTCGTTGGCGCGTCCCTGCAGTGTCCCAGTTACTACTTTTTTTTTAAATCTATTATTTTTTGTTGCACTTTAGGTGAAGGTTTATAGGACAAATAGTTTCTCATTAAACAGTACACATATTGTTTTCTGACAAGGGTTAATAACTCCACGATATGTCAACACTGTCCCTTCTTGACCTTGGGTTTTCTATTACCACCTTGTTTGTCCCCTCCTGCCTTCTAGTCCTTGTCTCTGGACTGTTGTTCCCCATTAGTCTCGTTTTGTTTTATGGGTCTCCAGACAGTTACTTTCTGTGTATCTTAAAGGTTGTTGGTGAAAAGAAAGTTGCCTTTGCGCTCTCGTTTATCGTTTTGATCTTTGCCTGAAAGGAATAATAGCGATGGGCAGAGGGTAATTCTTCGCGATAGAGCGCACAGCCTTTACCCTGAGGTTTGAGTCATGGTTTGTGATTTCTTGTATGCTTTTGAGTGCCGTGGGGTTGATTTTGATTGATGGCGAGCCCATGTGACAGCGGAACTGCCCCCATAGGGTTTTTTAGGTTGTAATTCTTAACGGGAGCAGATGGCCAGATCTTTTTTTCCCCGGAGCCGA